GGGGGGGGGGGGACGGGGGGGACGGACACGGACGGACGGGACGGACCCCATTATAATAGCAGTCATTCCGATAAAATGACCTTAAAAGCATGATCAATGAATCACTTATTACATAATCTGAAATACCAGAAACTTACATACCACTCCTTGAAGCAGCATCAGAAGCTATGAACAGCACGATTTGAGACCTTGCCCCTCAAATTTGCAGTGCTAGCATACTACTTTCTTCTAAAATGAGACTTTGTTTTTACTTCGGAATTGTTTATTTGGAATTAATCCCTACGGCATGATATCAAGGACTTTGTAGAAAGTTTGCTTTAAGCACCTCAGCTAAACCAACAGGGGTTTTTGCTGCACTTTTTTTGTTTTTACTGATGCTTCCCACACACAAGCACTTTACCAGAGGAGTGCAAGTACTTCAGCATATCATGCATTTCACTGCACAAGAGCAGATTTTTACCTTCAGCGAGTCCTGAAGCTGAGCAGCAATTGCCCTGGCCTGAGGAGATTCTCCCTCCCCTCGTGCTGCAAGGTCAGCTAGCTGAGCAGCCAGCTGGTCTACACGGTCACATTTGGCAAGAAGGTCTTGACGATAAGGTCCCATCATGACATTGGCTAAACGGCGACCTTCTGCAACCAGACCCCGAATTGCTGCCTGGCCTACAGTGGAAGAAGTCATGTTGCATTAACATACAGTGGAACAAAAAGCTGAAAGCATAAATCAGATGCACTGTGAAGTAAGTGACATTTCAGAATTATTGGGTTTTTAAGAACACCCTTCTAGGCAGTGGAAAGGTGGTTCTGCAGTTTATCATTAAGCAATTGCAGTTTAAACCCATAGAGGAATTCAGCTCACACCAGTTTCTTTTTGCCTATTACAGCAACTCTGGCTAGAGATGCCTCCTTTTTAACTAGGGTGGCCTGACAGAAGGTAACCATTACAGCTGTCAGGTGTTCCTACATAACTAATCTGTTGACTCCAATAGAAAGCACTTGCAAATTCCAAGTACTTGCAATTCATCTTCACATCATTACAAGTCATTAGAAGATGATCAGGAAGAGGGGGAGAAAAGCCAAGTAGAAAATGTAAATGAAAAAGCAGAATACCCTCTCCCAGGATTCCAGAAATCATGGGTAAGAAGTGTCAAGTGTCCAGGATGGGGGTGGGGAGGGAAAATCCTTATAAAGCCTCCACAGTGTGTCAAAAGTTTTCTGTAAAAAATTATTTTTAGCGTGGGTGATTTCCTTCATTCACTTACAGAAGCTTCCTGTTCTTTCACAAGAATATCCTCCTCAATACAATAGTAGTATTCTTTTAAAAGAAGTCATCGTATATTAAGTCCTTTAAAGACCTACTGAAGAATCATTTTAAGCTCAAAACTACTTAGAAGGAAGTTGTCACAGGACCTGACTCAGCACTGCCAGCATCATTTTAGAAAGCTTATTAGTGTAGCTAAGTTTGGTGCTGTTGGACTGTCCCAAGATATTTTTTAATTGTTGTTTTGCATAAGTCAGGTGCAGCCAAGCAAGTACACTTCACACACCAGTTTAGTATTTCAATACATCTTGCCTAGTTTGTATCTGCCAATTACAATTACTTTAGCCATGACTTAGCTAGGATAATGACTGCATGTAAATATTTGTAGCAGCTAACACCACTGAAGTGGCTCACGTGTTTATAAAATAAAATACACATTCTGCCTTGTTACTTCAAAATTCAGTTTGTGTTGAAGCACTACCCTGGGATACCTGCAAACACACCGAATTATTTGTGACATGGTCGTTACTTAACACTGAAGTATTTTCACATTATTATAGCACTGAAAATACCAGGCCAAATTCTACCAGAAGTGCTGTCCAGACTGAAGAGAGCACATATCTGATTTATATTCTTAAGATACCTTTCCTATAAGCACCCTGCCAAGGGCCAATGCAAGTGAAAGACATTTAAATGAAAAAAATTGAACGATGACATCATGTTACAACTAGAATTTTTCTTCATTAAACCAGAAACATTAAAGTTGTGGGACACGCAACATCTTGCATCTCTACACACATTTGTCGTATGTATTACTACAGCAATTGATTAAATTCTGTAGTATATATCCAGTGTTGAGAAACTTCAGTTCCTTCAGCAAGCTTTCAGTATGTATGCAAGCCTCATGATTAACTAGGCATTTACAGACTTCAAGCAGGATTTAAGTTACCTTTATTTCTTTTAAATTAAAAATTAAAAAAATTAAGTTTAGGTTTTGTGCTTCTTTGAGCCAGCCACCTCACAGGTTACTATGTTCAAGAGAAACATCAAAATTAGGAAGGTTTTCAGCCACTGCCAAAACATCTCATGAGACCTATCTACCGCCTGCTTGGTCATCTCATTCAGTGTGCAAATTGCTCATCAGAAAGTGTCAAAAAATGGAACTCTACTATTCTGTTTAAAATACTGCATATAAAAATACTTCACAAGTGCATCAGCATCACTAAATCTTTAATTCAAGGATCTGTCATTGGTTATTCACACAACGGAATTTATCTTGACAGACAGGGAAAGGTGTGAGAAAGCGGTATTAAAGGTCTGCAGTTATACTACTTCTTACAAGGCATGTTTCCACCCGTCATTATCAGTTGCACTACTTAGACATAACTGCTATGGAAAAAACTACTGAATCCGGTTTTCAAGCTTCATCCGTCTACTTGCAATAGTATCAGAAGCAGCTAAACAAGAAATTTCAGAAATGGTTTACAAGCAGCTCTCAGTAGAGCAGCTCCTGAACCATAATTATATGCCCGCTGATAGCATGCTTGGATTCTCAAATCACCTTTCTCTTTGGTTAAGTAGCATTCTCCTCAGATAACCCAGAAACCATACAAGAAGTGATATTTTTAGGTCAGGTTTGTGAATGTTTTTCTCCTCTCTGAAGAACTTAATTACTCAATTCACTGGAGTAGGTATAAATTCAAATTTGAGATACTATATTGGCATGATAATAAAAGCAAGGAGCAGTCTAAAGTTTGTCTGTTCTACAGCCCACGTTCTCCTACTCTTCACCAAAGTTGTTCTTTCCTTCCAGAAGACAAAGAGAATCACAGGCCAGCTCGACTCAATAATATTGCAGCCAGAACTTGGCTATAATCCTCCAGCCACAAACTGCAGGTCTCCACGTCAGTGAAGAGATTCCATGCACCCTCAGCATCCCAGGAGCAGTAGTTTCAGTCATAAAAATTACTAACAAGTTTAACCATAAATCTGTGGGGGGAAGAGCACACGGAAACACTTACCTACTCCCCGATCAGCAACTGTAGGATTGTCTATCCACCTTTGAGCTTGCTCAATCTTGCCCTCCAAATGGACAGCTGCTTTAACGGGCCGAGTATTTGCTACAGCCCTGTTTGTTTTGGACTGTAAATTCTGAAGTGATGTAGCTATTTGCTTAGCCAACGCACGGGCCTCAGGAGAGTCACCTTTCCCACTAAGGATTAAAAAAAAGTATAGTCATATAAAGATCATTTACAGCCAGTTCCAAATTCAGCTGGAAGACACAATGAAAGGTACTTCATCTCTTTAAATAAGGTTAAATTTGACACTTGAGTCTCAGAGCAAATAACCTGTCATCCATAAATCCCCACCTCACACTCCTCTGCTGTGGCACCTGGGTATTACATATGTTCCACGCAGCACTGAGGTGGGAGAAGGCATGGTACTGTCATTGGTAATACTGATGTATGACTTATTTCCCATACTCATGGCTCTCTTATGAGCAACTGCAATAATGCCACACAGATTACAAGCAGAAAAGTAAGCAGCAACAAACCCAAGGCTATATATAAACTTGAAAAGAGGTAAGCACGTTAAGACCTGCAGCAGCTAAATCTCAAGAAAAACTCGATTAAAGCATCTAACTAATGAAGAAAAATATTTTTCTCCATATTGCAACTGGCCATAGATGAACATCACGATTTATACAATAACTGTTTCTTCACTTCCATTCTCAAGCATCCTCTTTGCAAAACTGATTTAGAAATATCATTTGCAGCTGAGCACTGAACCCAAGGTAAGAGGGTTTTCTGAAAGTCTTATCTTTTATACAGTTTGCAGTTACAGCTTAGAACACTGACACTGATTGAAGTGCTAGATATTCCATCTTGCCATTTAGTAAACTGCTTAGTAAAAAACAGTGATGACATTTGTCTGTATAAACAAACCTAAATTTCACACTATCTCATTCCTTTGAAGTGCGCTTTGACAGTACAAAGGAGCTTACTTTTGGCTTCAGCGCCTGTCAAATATTCCACAGGCAGTACTAAGGAAAGTACTTTCTAGATAATACAACTCTAGTTACTCTTTTTTTTTTTTCTCTGGAGGAAAATAGTGTAAGTTGGGCTTTGGGACAGAAATCATTAGGTTGAAGCATTAAAAAGGATACCATATTTTATAAATTACATTTTTTAAAGGATGTTAAAAAGTTAGCTTCCCCCCCCGGAACGGAACAATTCTTCACGTTCAATTTTTACTAAATGCAGGATAGAAACTTAGAAGTATAAGATGTCCATTCCCAGTTCTTGGAGGAAAATATATTCCCCAATTAATCATGAATATGCTGATTTTGCTCAGCACTTTGAACTCCAAATGAAAGTAATTCAAATAAATTAATGGTGATAAAACTAATACGTACTGTCGCCGCAGATCTGACAGCTTAGCTGTCAAAGCAGAGATTTCCCCCAAGGAACGAAGGATATCATCTCTTTCTTTAGGCTCCTCACATAATTCTGCAACTTTCCTTGCTTCAGCCATAATTCCCCGAATATGTTCTTCTCCTTCACTGCCCCCATTAGGATCCGCAAGCCAATTCTTAATAGAAAGAAGTTGTGTACAAGTGAAGATAAACAGTAATACTATTTCTATAGAGACTTTTAAACAAAAATAAAAATCAATACAGCTTTCAAAACTTTATTTAACAGAAAATACTTTTCAAAAGCAATTTCTGTTTATTAGATACCATTGTCTGGCAGTTTTTCTGTTTTGAAAAAGATATCAAACTAGATGAAGTCTACTCAAAGATTTTACATTCTCTCTCTTTCCAACATTTGCCAACAGTATTTTCAGAAGTAAAATTTAACTAGTGGCTTTAGAGACTCATGATCTAGCTTTCAGAAGAAAAATGATAACAGATACTCTTGTGCACAGTGTGGCATTCCTTTACAGAGCTCTTCCTAAAAACTTTCATTATCGTTTCATTCGATGTGTATAATATTAATGTATATTTATATGTATATAATTATATACACATACACACATTTAGATAAGGTATACGCAGAAGGTTCATTATTTGATGACCATCATCATCACTGGGTAATAGGCTGACCATTGAGGGAGTTTTTAAGTTACAAAAATAAAGGAGCAACTAAAAGAAAAAGTAGTTTCATTAACATTGGTTTGCTTTTGTCATTAATACGAAGTTCTAAATCCTGACCTCCGCTCCCAAAGCAGAGCCCAAGGAAAGGGCTCTGGTTTTACCCACAGGTAAATCTGTGCAGTCTGAAACTCCTCTACTCTCTTCTTTAATAAGGTTAGTTTATGTTCAAATGTTTCCTCATTTTAATTTCACAACCTTTAAATTTTTAGCAATGCTAAAAAAATTATGAAAAAAAAAATGTCATAAGCTGTAGCAAAACTCACAGCACCCGATAAAATTACTGAATTTAAGATTCTTCTGTGTAAAACCAAGTATCCCCTACATGTTCTTCCTAACAAGTAACTGTGTTGTGTTTGGAAACAACTACGATAGTCCAGTGTAACAGCTCTAACAGCAGTAACGTAATCATGTTCTGAAGTATTTATGAAATCATTAGTAGTACCTGAGCAGCATCAATCTTCTTAGCAATTGCCTGCTTAGAGTTTGTCATGGCCTCCAATTTGCGGGCTGCATTCTCCACTTTTGCAGTGAGCAAATCCAGACCTTGTGACACCTGCTGCGCTTTCTGCATAGCCATGGGTGTAGCACCCTGTCCTCTGCCCAAGACAAAAAGAGCATCACAGATTCAGCTCAGGATTGAACAAAGCTCTCTTCTAATGAAGAGGCAACAAAAAACTGTTTATGAGCATTCCCAGCAATTATTGCCAGAGATACAGTATTTAATCAGATTTATTTTTTTTCCCGGGAAAACAGAAATAACTTGAGGAGGAACACCACAACGAGAAGAGTTTAAAACTAAGAGCGTATTTTCCCCTTTCCAGAATTTGACATCTAGCATCCTCAGAAGAATGGACATTTTTTAAGCGTCATGAAGTAAGGCTATTTGAGGACACAGTTCCATTAAAGTACCCAGGGCAAAGCCTGTTACCTCCTCATTTACAGATTGCTGCAAGTCAGTCAGAACCTGCATGGAGTTATGTCTCGCCACACCTAAGTGAGGACAGCAAGGCTGTAAGTGAAAATAAGATGTCTTAGTTGCCTCAATCATGTTGACAAAGTAGATTAAAGGTTATGGGCTATCGGTAAGACTTCTTAAAATGGTGACAAGGATGCTAGCAATACAAATTTACAGGACTGTAGAAAACTATTTGCAGCACTACCACTGTTTGTTCAAATGCTTAGGAACTAAAAGTTGGATAGAAAGATTACTTCAAATACACATGCCTAAGAACGCTAGTTTTGCGTCAGAAATCTCATACTTCATTCCAGAATAACCTGACTACCGGAAAGCTTTTTGAGCATGTTAACTTTATCGAGCTACTAACTTTAAAAAGACCATAGTAAGTGGAAGGATGACAAGCATGCTACTGAGATGCTAAGGTGTATTTACACAGTCAGGCCAGAGTCTCAAGATATGTTTCTTTATACCTTATTTCTCACAGGCTGAGTTGAAGTTATTTACATATTAAACCGGCATATAAATTAACTCATTCGTTAGTAAATCTTAGTCCCGCCTCTTCCTCCACCTCCAAAAATTTCAAACAATACAAAGCTGACACCAGCCACTGCTTTACATGAAGAGTAGGAGTTTAGCCTAGTTTCTAACGGTGGGGAGAAGCGTTACAACAAAATAAAGAAACCAATGTTAGAGTACTCTAGCTTAACAATTTGCTACCCTGGTAAGCAGCTGAAAAATTCCTTATACTCCAAGGAAACTGGGCTATAGTGTTCAAACTACATGCAATAGTTATTTCTCAGCTCATCATCTTTATGCCTTCACAAGGGAATATCATACTTCCTACTTTCTGGCAAAAGAACAAAAGGCCATAGTACCCAACACCAAAAAATATAGTACATTTAAAGAGACTCATCTGCTGCCTAAAAACAAAACCCCTTAAATTCAAAGCACCATTGTGAAAGAATAACCAATTTCTAATGAGGAGGCGGAAAACTGATAAAGGGCTCTGGTTAAATAAAACTCTATGCAAGAAATACCCATGAAGTTCAGTAGAATTTATCAGTGATTCATAAACAACTTCAACAACTACTGCTTGTGGTCTAACATCCCAATAAACACCTAAAACCTATTCACATATCTTACAGTCATTGGGGTGTATCCTCTTTGGAGAACAGACTTAACAGCAGAGTTTAAAATTTCGTTTCTGCCTAATTTGGAGGAAGGTTATGTGTTTGACATTAAACAAACTCCAAATTATCTACTTGAGCAATTTTGCTCGTAATGTTACATAATTAAGATTTCACATATTAAAACATATTATTCTTATCAGAAGAGATTGAAGTGAAAAAGGCAAAATACAGCTACTGGCCTGCTCTCCTACAGGTTAGGAAGTGACACAACTGCAAGTTCAGAAAAACTGTTTTAATCATACTGGAAAATCGTCCATTAAAAGTAATAGATTTACCTAGCTCTGAGGTCAGCCAGTTGATCAGTCATCTGGCCCAGCGTTTTGCATGTTCCCAGAATCTCTCTGCGTTCTTTGCCTGCACACAGTTCTCCTGCTTTTCCAGCTTCATCAAGGATCTGCCTTATTGCTTGCTCACCAGCATCCCCTAAGACGCAGAGTCAGTTAGTAAAACAAACAAGACATTCCTTGTCGTGTATGAGTAAACTGCTAGTCTCACCATGTCCCACCACATTAACTGCACTAGGTTCAGTCATGGAAATACATTTATCAAAAACTATGAGATAGACACCAAATGTGATAATTTTAATGGGACAGTATTTCTGAAACAATATAGCATAGCCTTAATGTGCATGATGTGCCATGTATTTCAAGTCATTTAACCATTCTGTTATCATAGCTTAATTTCTATAAATGCTTCATTTATAGAATCTGTAAGTCAGGCTAAGAAGGGGAAGAGCAACATGGCAAGATTCATGTAGCCTTAACTTCAGCCAGTTGCAAATCTGACTTGATTTTGGCTAAAGAAGATGCAAGAACAACATTCCTTTTCCTTGCAACCCACCCTGATCCCATCCTCCAGCATTATGGATAGTGGAGGTACCAGTACCCATAAAGTACTCGTTCCTCCATGAAACTATAATAACAAAATTGGCTCAAGTGTTCCTATGTTAAGGAACACTCAGAAGACAAACATATTATGAGGTTAGTTCAAAGTAACACACCCACTAAAATCTGATTTGCAGTAAGTTCTACAATTATCTTTGCATTTGTCCTTCGCTACTGAATTTTTAACGGTTTACTTTATCAATTGTCAGTGTCAATGACAGAAGGCTTTGAAAATAACTTTGAGGTTTCTGGAATTGATTGCGGCGAGGGGAATGAGGTCAGAAGTAATATAAGCAGCAGCTCCACAGATAACAACAATTCACTTCCAACTTTTACAACTGTATTATTCTGGCTTCAATTTCAGAGGAAGTCTTTCAGCTAAGGTCTTTCAGCGTCCAAATGGAACAGGTCTCTATCTGGTTTTATTTGCCTTAAAGATACATACAAAGGCAAAACCTTTATATAAGTAAAGCTGACTGTAGTTGCAGTATTTATGGCAGATTTTCATGTTAAAAATTTTATGTCAAGACAAAGAAAGACGCTTAAAGATTACTGTTAGGCGAATCTGAAGTTATACGAATTTGAAAATACAGAAGCAGGGATTTTAAGTATTAGCAACCACTGCAGTTAAATACTGTCCAATGCAATTTATGGGGTTTTGTTTTTACTAATGGAATGCAAAGAAAAATCATGCATGTTATACAGACTATATTATTTAGACAACTGAAAAGAAGCAGAGCTTTCCAGGTCATTAGACACAACTTGTTCAATCTCCAGTATCTAAATAAAGGAATAAATACAGGCTGCTTCTGAATGATCCACTACATATGGGTTATTTATGCTTAAAGGCAATTTTGTCTTACACAACAGAATTATTCAAACCTTTAAAAATCAAAATACTTTGTGCTGGGTTTTGGTTTGGGGTTTTTGGGTTTTGTTTGGGTTTTTTTTCCAATATTACCTGGAGGTGCATTTGGATCTCTCAGCCAACCTTTTGCCTGGTTCATCTTTGAATCTATTAAGGCTAAAGCTCTTTTCATGGCTTCAGTGTCCTTTACAAAAGAGAAACCACCAAAATGATTCTCAAAAAGAAATCAAAGCACAAATAGTCAACACAGGCAAAGCAGACAGAAGTTCTATAAAGCACAGCCTACTTACAGAAACACACCCATATAAGCAGCTCAAAACCCATTTTCAAACTAGCAGGTCATAATCACTGCTTTCCAATTAAGACAGACATTTTCATTTCACTCAAAATGCAGAAAATATGCATGCAATTTTAGTGATTTTTCTATTCTTTTATTTACTACTGTTTTAATTCTAAAGTCAGAGCTCTAATAACCACACATCTTGGAGTTAGTTCCATTTTTTTCCTTAATGTACATCAGGGCACATAGAAAACTTGTAACAATGAGATTAGAGTAAACTTTTCAAAAATGGAAATTGGCCAGTGAATTTTACTACTCGCTTCTGTGTAAGAGGTCGCACATCTGCATTTTTCACCTGCTCTGCTGCTTGAAGTCAAACAGCTGCTATTTGCAGAAAAATAGACTGCCAGCTAATTCCTGGAATTCTCAAATATGGAGTTTAATGTCTTCGGAGACAAACACGTGTATTCACATGTGGCTGTTTTAAACTCAGAACTTCTCTGCCAGAAGCATCAGAGAAGCTGCTTCTTTGACTATTATGCTGCTATTATCCAACACCTCTTTGACTAGAGGAGATAAAACCATGCAGTTCTCATTTCTCTGCATACTGTTAATTGTTCATGTGTCATCTCTCCACTAGAGGCCAGAAGTTTTCTATCTTACACAGATGGAAACACAGTGAAAAAAGTAACAAGTACCTTAAGTAGAAAGTTGGGAAAAAGCCAAAATAGCTTTTTACCACACGTCATAGAAATAATTTGAAATGCATCTAACATCCCATGATTAGTATACAGATGATGAAAAGAAGCCTGGCTCTCGTGCTATTAACTGAATTGGACTGTCCACATCCAACTCTTATGAAGAGAAGCCTACTAACACCAACAATCAGTATCTAGTACAGCATGTGATATCCTGACAATACTAAAGAACTGCCACATTTTTGTGGAGTTCTTCATTCTGTGTGCTTAGTCTCAAAGATACATCACTGTAAACATTTTGGCATTTAAGCCAGTTTTATTCAGGCATGCTGGTCTGTCAGCTATTCATATGGTGCTATAATATAATTCAGCAACCAACTCTCCAAAAGGTCATGGGACACTGCTGGATATTTTTAAGGGCTCTTGAATCACAGCCTGAGAGTGAACACCAAAAGCAGAATCATTTTCACCTGGACGGTTGGTTCTCAAATCTAGAAACTGGGTCTCAGAGCTTAGGTCAGGACCTGTTCGAAAAAACTTCAAGAAGGGTAGGATATGCAGCTGGGGGTGGGAGGTGGGCACATTTTTTTAAAAGTCATCTTCTCTATAGCTGGAGAATTGTGCATTTAATATGACAAGAAACAAGCAAAGAATCACTTAAGTATTCAAATGTATATAAAAACTTCACTAGCTGTGAAGGTAGGTATTACAGTTTTCTGTTGTTTTACATATGGGCTGAAGCTACTTTAGTTTGGAATGAATGGTCTACTGCAGGCCTGTGTACCCAGAAATAATTTGAAACAAAGAACTAACTGAATTTTTTAAAAGGCAACAGACGTTGCTTAGTGTGTTGATGAGATGATAGGTGTGGGATGGCTGAGAAAAGGAGAGTGTTGGGAAAACTGTCTTTGCCCCTCCCTTTTTACTAACACAGGCTTTTGTGCTGTCTCAGCTACCTGCAGAGTTGCAGTTTCAGCAAAACTATATAGAAGCCTCTGAATCGGAAGTCTCGTATCAGGGGACAAAATCAAGGGCATTTTAGCTTTTACACTCATGATTTTGTAACTGCTAGCACTACCCAAGCAATTACGGGATCCATCTGTCCTATCATATGAAGGCTATATAACTGGATTGCTCTGCAGTCTAAATCTTGCTATCCTGTGTGGCTCTGCACTCACATTTGCAAAATACTGTCCCCTTTTCCTATTTAAAAAAAATCTGGTGAAATCCTAGTGTAGTAGTCGAAGTGTTCCAGGACAACTGCTCTTAAAGCACAGGTTTCCCCATCTTCACAGCTCAAACTGCCACGGCAAGGAATCCCTCTCACCTTAACCCGATAGGGAGTTTTCATTGCAATGAGACGAGTAATTTTTAAATAGGAAATTAGAACACATCCTTAACTAGGTTTGTTGGTACTGCACTTTTGTTTCTGCTACAGTTGTGTCTGGTGTCAGACACTTGGCAAGCAACAAAGGTGTAACAATCCTGAAATGTCTGGACTTTGCCACCAATTCAGGCTATTAAGGAGGAAGACAAAAGTAGAAATATTCTATTTAAACAAAACAAAGCAACTTGCTCAAGGTCTTACTGCTTGAAAGAGTCTCGATATTCCTGATTTCTGGAGCTGTTTAAATACCTTGTTCCTTCCTAAACAGCTAAATATGTTTAAAATTTTACTTTTTGGGATTTGCCAGCAGGGTATCAGTTGCAAGCAAGAAAAGAAAAAAATCCTCCAGCTATCCTGCAAAAAAGTTTCATATAGAGTAGTTTTATCAGCAAAAAAGGATTCTTTCCACCCTCTCCCCACAGTTCCCCCGTTGGCAAAAGGAATTTCATTAACAAAAGCACCACTAATACCTTTTCAGAAGAGATAAACAACTTAAGTTAATCAAGTTAAACAACTAGGGCAACATCGTCTGAAGGGAAAAGAGCAAGTTGGCTTTTTGCAAATCAGTTCCTAAAGCAAATGAGCACTTATTCAAGATACCTTTATGCATCACTTCTGCCACTACCAAGAATTTTGAGATTAATCACTGAGCAGGTGGTATTGGCACTGCTTTGAAAAGGAGCAAAATAAATCCTACACAATCCCTTGTTGAACATAAAACAGAACCTCTGACTCAATAAAGTGGTCTAGTCTGGCGATATCTGCATTTCATTACCAAAGAAGGCAATGTTGAAGGAAATAGGCAAAGTCAGCCTTCTGGCGGAATAGATAGCTTAGTCACCATCCAGGGTTCAACCCTGCAAGTTACTAGATACTTCTCAGCTTCCTACAACTTTTAACTCCCTCCATTTCTATGGAAATCGAAGATGTCTGAATTGAGTATTACTTCAAGTTTATTTAAAAATAAACACTAAGAATATACAAGAGAAAGCTAGACTCCTCTGTAAAATGAAAAGTTCAAGGAAAAAAGGTACAAAGCTACGAATGGAAGAAATAAATACAGAGTTGGGTTTTTTTTCAAGATTTTGTTAGAGATCAGTATTTGCTCAGTATTTCAATTCTAAATCAGGGTACTATTTTAAAAAATCCAGTGTTGGTGCAAGCAGAGACTATTGCAATCCAGTAACAGTAATGTGCATTTCAGAGTCTAGAAAGACCAACAAAATAGTTTACAAAAAAGCCTACAACTCTGGCTCCATACACTTGTTCATTTTCCACTATCTCCAGTAGATTTTGTGATACTTCAATGTATACACAATTCAAGGTAGAATAATAAACATAAAATAAACTCCAACATCAACAGTAGCATGTACTACACAGGTAAAAATTCAAGGCTGTGCATCCCCAAATACACCTTACTTCACTCCAGAAAAACGTGAGGAAAATACCTTCCCCTTGACTGCCAGGCACAAAAGGCATGCAACAGTAATCTCAAGTAGAATTTAAGTGCTCCTCCCTCTCCCTCCCAGAAAAATAATGAGTAAGTCAACCATTAGATACATATGCAAATACAGGAAAAGTGGCCATTAGCAAACTAGTTCCTGCTTCTTCATCCCACTGCGTTTTTCAATTCAAATTCTTTGTCATAATTGTTTGGTTAATGCCCAGTGCTACAGTTCCAAATTGTCAGCGTACCTTAATTCAAAAAACAAAATACAATTAAGAAGTTCTCAACTCAGAACAGAATGATACTTTGATTATACTAGTCCACACAACATATTTATGCATTACACATAATGACCAATATTTTCCATTTGGAAATACTGCTAATACGCCAACTATTTTCTTAATAAAATCCTTTATTAATCTGCCTTACTAGCAAGAGAAGTAAGAATTTTCCTAAGGCTAAAATTGCCAACTTTTGCAACAGTCTTTTTTTTTTTACCATGAAATTTCCAAATTTGTTGTGTAAAATAAAATAAAACTGTATTTGTATTTTGTAAAATACAGGAATGCTTAAATCCAAAAATAAAACTGAATTGAAAAAATGCACATACAAAATTGAAGTTTTAGGCCTAGACCTGAAGAACACAAACTGTTTGAACTGAAGGAAGGCTGCTGGTGAAATACTAAGGAATAGACAAAAATTCCTGATTTAATAAAGCTTTCTGGACATGCAGAAAGCTTGTTCCTGCATGACTGGACCCTTTATTTGTAGCTACAGAGACTAGTAACATAAATTAACACAAAAGCATTCAGCAAGAATGTGCTCTAAAATCTTGGGCTGACTCTAATCAGACTCAGAAAGACAGTCTTACTGCAGTTCAGCTTGCAATTACCATTCTCTTAGTGACAGCCAATTCTACATGTAGCTAGACAAAGCTATTAAGATCCTTTTACAACTTCTGTGTGTGTATATACATAAGTATGGTGTCACAGCTGGCACACAAATAAGTTGCACAGCACACAGTCTGCACACAGCACAAAATCCCACATACATGCTTTTTTGATTTTAGTACAAGGTAGAGGTGTAGGGTGTGGAAGAAAGCTTACCTTCTAAAGGTGAGAAAAGGGTAAGAAACAGGAGAACAAAAACAAAGATGCATAAAGTAGTCATAATAAGGAAGTGATAGTGACAAAATAACTCAAAAGGCAAACTAAGGGTCAAGTGCCAAACAATATAGGCCAAAGTGATTTTAATGCCTAGATTACATTAACGTTAGATTTTCTGCAAGATTTCATTTGTTAATAAGTCTGGCTTCAGGTCTCAATAGTTTCTTTAAATATATTTACAGTTACTTCTTGCTTATAGCACTAACCCTTAAAAAAAATCCCTTCAGCAATTTACTTCAAGGTACTAAAAAAAAATTGGCAGGAATTTCAGTTATGCAGTTACATTTATTTGCAAGCCCACAATAACACTTTCACGATTCTGACTGTCAGACCTGCTTTATAGTCTGCTAGACATTTCAGTATCTTCAGTGGGTATCACTTAAGAGCACCACTTAACTCCAGGTAAGTGGTTGTAGTCACTTGCACAGCTTAACACTGCGTTGTAAGGAACCAATACTGTCCATATGCCAGCTTCACAGACATCACACTTACCCAGAAAGGCTGCTCAGTCTAACATGTATTTCTTTGAGACAAGGCAAACACTTGAAATTTACTCCCGTGTCCAGACTAAAAATGGGGCAGGGGGAGAAGGAGGAAGTATTCAAGGAGGGATCCCCAAAAACTGACTAAAACTTCTCAGCTTCAGGCCTTTTGCACAAGGAATATGACAGCAACCAATCTTTTCTAGTAGTATCTAGGAGAAAAATCTCAGGTAATCTCATTTACGAATTCCTAGCTACAAGACCAGTTTAATGTATAAAACAATAGCTTTTTACCTAACTTTCCTCTGTCAAATATGATTATGTAGCCACTGAGCCATCTTCAAATGCCACACTCCTTTAACTTAGCTTATTGAGAGAAAGCTAATTTTGAAAGATACATTAATACAGTCATCTCTGAAGATGTTCTTTGACCTTGAAAAGATTATACGATGTGATTACAAAGTGTTCCAAAACTGATGCACAAATACATAGTTCAACAGTCTCAAAAACACAAGTTTATAAAGTGTACAACACAGTAGATAAAAATCAGACTTCTACATACAAACGTAGGTGTGAAACATACCTTGCTCGCCCAGGCATCTTCATCCCAGGAAGTGAGTTGTAATACACGGATTATTTCATTTATCTCAGCACTCATTTTCTCTACTGTGAAATTGCGATTTTTCAATGCCTCTTCTATTCCCTGGCTTTTAGAATTTTTCGTGGTTACGAAAATCTTCATAGCTGTAATACCATAGATGAGAAAAAAGTACATGCAAGGTACGATCAATGCTCAAGGTGACCTCCTATTGCATTAATACAGAGGTAGTACATTTTATTTGGCATGGACCATTTTATCTTGAAGAGATTGTAGTTTTGACACAAGAAGCACAGTTATTTCCAATCAGTACAGAAGCAATGTCAAGGCTGTTGTTTTTAATAAACATAAGACATTGGAACCCCAGCTCAAAACAGACAGCGATTCAGAGTGATATAAAAATTTAAGCCAAAAATACCTGAAATAAGTACTGGCAATAGCTCCTTCACGGTATTCATGGAGTTTACCAGCATAACCCTATGTTCCTGATGAGTTAATTCCTGTTGTCTCTCATCAATCATTTTGGCCATCTTTGTCATTCCTAAAGATTAAAGTAATCGAACATAGTCATAAATAAAGAAATGTAATACTAAGTCTAATTTGCAACAGTTGAGCTTTCTAAACAAGAACAAAATGTAATGAGTTATGGCAACTATATTGAAGTCTAAAACTTAATTTTTATATTAGCAGCTGTTACTTAAAACACATTCAGATGCTTCAGAGAAGCCACTGATTCAAAACCTAGCCACTATGCAAAGTAGAATGGAATCCTCAAAATTCTTGATTTAAAATCCCAGCAATGAAACAGGAAAATACCTGAAATTACTACTTTAGGACATGAAGTCACCTCATGAACTCTGGAAGCTAATTTACGGGGTTTTTTTTTCCTTTTCTGTTAAGACATGATCAAAGCCTTAATTGTGAATGGCAGAAAAAGGAAATATCATGGGGTTTTTTGTTTGTTTGTTTGCCTTGAGGTTCTACCAGAGTTCAAGAACTGTATTTATACTTCAGTTCTGCTAGAAATATTTCAGTGCTCTAGAAGTGTGGAAAGAATTCAATTTATTCTAGAGCAAATCTATTTTCAATGGCTAAGGCTTGTGAGGTTTACCACACAGCACATGTGGAAATTTTAGACACAGCTTCACAAAAATTTAAGCTGATTTAAATTGGTGCTGTTGTGGTCCCACTCTCTCTTTCTCCTACAGGGGACAAAACTGGAAGAAAGCTGTATACTCTTTGACTGAATTACTTTTCTGTTGGTTAGCATCTTAATATAACAAAAAGGTTAAATGAGCTTTAATTACAACACTAAAAAGTAGTAGAATCCCCACACTGACAGCATAGAGGGGTAAGTTGTGCAGAACCACCTTTCCTTTCAAATGACAAAAGCATAAATAGGTAATCATGTTCTCCTCTCTTCTTCCAACATAAAACTATAAGCACTTTGCTGATTTTAAGTGTACATGCTCATATTCCTGTTATTTATACAGTGCTCACATTAACAGTTAAGTTCAGATGCCCATTGATATAGCTGAAGGGAGCAAGGACTACAGGCATAAAAAGTTTTGTGGGCATGGGCTCTAAGTGTTGAGCAGCACTTAGTTCAGGCAAAGACAGTGCTTCTAGAGCATGCCGGAAGCACAAGATTAGCTATTTATTCAGAACAGCATGAGTTTAGAGAAGATTATTTGCGATAAATGTACAAGCCTCCATCTCGCTTCTGAGAAATTAAGACACTTGCCCAACACCTATTACCTCTATCATACACACGTAACAGCAAATTACGTCTGTGAGGTTCAATGAAAAGTCCCAAATGCTTGTGACTGAGCCAAATAGAGTAAACTGAAGTTTGGGGAAGCTTCCATTTTAAAGACATGGAAGACAATGACCACAGAGAAACTGAAATTGTATACCAAGTAAAAGAACAAGGTTCACTGAAAGAGAAGATTGCCCTTTTTGCTTCATCTTTTCCTGTTCAAAATGAGGCAAAATCTATTCAGTTGAAGGTAACTTCTCACGGAACATTCAAAAAAGTTTAGAGAACACCATACATTCATATGGAACTTAAAGTTTTTCACATCTAGAAACAGGGTAAAGTATACACATGTTAAATAAAAACAGGATAATCTACAAACATGCTCTGGGACATGAGAGCTGCTAGTCATTTCATCTATGAGCTAGTTATTCTTACAGTACAGATGTATTCTTATTTATATACATAAAGTACCAACTAGATTCCTGCTCTGTTTATATAAGCATTCTTTAGTTCAGTGTAACTTTAATTCCTACATTACCACCACAACATCTAGTTTTTATAGAATGCTTTTGTTAAATACCTAAACTGCTTTATGCTTGCCGAAACTAAAGCATTTGGAGTAGTAGATGACAGATTAACGGTAGGTTTCCTCTATACCAACCCAGTGCTTCACTTACCGATCGCCCACTTCCATCAGTGAAAGTGTGAGTTAACACAGTGGAGTAACAAGTAGTGAAGGAGCATCAAATAATGAACAAAAAGAATTTTTGTAACAGCTGTGCTTTTGTATTACACTGCAAGACAGCTATTTCTGCAACCTCATTAAGATTTTAATAGATGAAATGTAGCTTGTACTACTCCAAGAAATTCCTACTAGGCCTAACCATCTCAGTTAGTACAGACATTTTATCAGCTTAATGGACTTTATAGCTGTGAGTGCTTAATCACACAGCTTTTTCAATTTTTTTGTTTTACTCTTCCTAATACATGCTTACTTCCCTCATGTAATGTAGTGTAGGAAAAGTATAGTACATATCATCTGTGTAGTACATATAATTTACCAACATCTTGACTCTCCTGCATTCTTGAGAGAATGTGAATCAGAAAATAGTCATCATTCACGCTCTAGTTCAAAACTCTTTCAAACAGACATTTTCAAAGCAACTGGTTTGTCATTGTCCAAACACTCGAAACTTGGGTAAGGAAGGTGCTGGGGGAAAAAAAAGGTAGTGAAAAAGACTATACTTAGTATGTTTATGATAGGCTGTAGCAAATCAAACCTGGCCCTAGATTCTTTGTGTATGTCACCAAATCCTCCATAGTTTCTACTACTTCCGCCACAGTCAGATATTCCAATATTCCTTTGCAGACACGGATGATTTTACGGACCTAAAAAAGGAACATTCCACCATTTATTACATGAAGCTAAGTCACGCTTGAATTAGAAATGCAAGCCTATTATTAGAACAGAATAGGTATAGCATTTGCTAACATGACGTATGGGCAATCACAAAGGTCTGGGATACTGATTAAGTTACCCACAATGCCATTACTCAAGAGTGCAATATTGACAAAGACAGTATTTAATCAGCATTCCACTACTCAGAAATGCAAAATCCTACTTCCAGTGTTTTCACTTTGTATGATAAATGAAGGACAGCATTGAGAAAATAGGTTATAAGGAAGTGCATTTAAGTATGCTGGCATGCTTGAAGTTTTTCATTGCAATTTCATCAATAAAAAATATTTAACTTAAATCACAAAGCAAAACTACATAGAAAGCAGACTCCAAGCTTTCAGAAGAAGTATTATTCACCATACAGCTTTACATATGGATAAAGCATTATCCAGCGTTCCAGTGGGAAAGGTAGATCCAACATCTTAAGCTTTCCAGAAAAATCTGTGAAGACTGTACTTTATTTACCTCTGGACATCTGCCTCAGCTTAACTTTTTCAGTTCATACGTGATTCCAAAAGAGAGTTCTCTGTTGGTTCATCTTCTAACCTCCTGAACCACATTATTTCTGATAATGTTTAGATAACATCTAAAATGTTTTTAACTTTACTACAACACCACATACAATTCTCATTGAAGAATGAGTTAATTAACATTTCATTCGTATCAACCACATGCAGTGTTCAGTCCCTAGAACAGACCATAGTTTCCTCTAAAACTCATTTCAGTTTTGTCCCAATGTTAGTTTATCTTGAAACATAGCAGGATAGAGACATGCCAAGTTTTGTATTCGTGAAAAGACAATCATTCCAGACTAATATTTTTCTTTTGGTTAATATGCAGTTGTCAGAGACTAGTTCAATGAAGCATTAACTCCACAGAAGTCAACTCATTTCCTAAACACTGGAAGCAGGGAGATTAAAAGCTATTAACTTCTTTGCAATTCTGTCCTGTAACACTTCATAGTATCTATTAAAAACCAGTTAAAATAATGTGTAATCACAAGTGCCAGAGAAATCCCGTAGCATTCTCCTCATTTCAGAGGAACGTGCTAACAGTACCATGAGCTGATTGAGTGAGAGACAAGGATGCCATGTTAGACTACTCAGAACAGCAGGAAGAGTAACACAATTTCATAGATTAACAGATTGTTGCACGGGTAAAATTTAGAATTAACATCAGCATTTCTAACAGTGTGAGCTTACCTCATAGTAGCATGATATTTGCTATTTAGAAATGAGCAAGACTCCATATTCCCAGAAAGAGGATCACAAGAGTAAGTAAGATTTGTAACAAAGAAACATTTTCAAATATAAGACACTCAAAACTTCCTTTTTACGTTTCTTTGCAACACTGGCTTTTTTGTCCATCTGAGGATGGACAAACAGCACCTCTGAGCCACTTTTTGGCTTGCGCAGCAGCCAAAATGTAGCAACTGTTACATCCATCAGAACACATCTTCTGGCTAACCAGCCAGACAGTCCAAATTTGTATTGCCTCCCGTGCCCCAAGGCCAATTAAATTGCCACAGCTAATGAGTCAGACAGACATGTTAGGAAGCGGCCTAGGGCTTTTCAGTGAAGGGATACAGAGAATATAAGGCTCAGTAATGGGTATGGTGAAGGGAATACAGAAAAGTGTCAGCAAGATGTAAGATAGGGCTGATGGGATCTGGCCTTTTTGAGGAATAATCACAGGCAACGCCTAAACTTTATGTCATACAAAGATGCTCTTAACAAAACAGAGCAACGAGCCTAAGCTCCTTCTGACATAAAGGAATGCAAGATATGTTTCCAATCAAGCTAAAATGATCAAAACCACATTCATCTACTCAATAGTTTAGATTAGCTAATTCAGTTAGGTGGATATTTGAATTAATAATACTGTTGTGCAGATACCTATGTCAGTCATGTTGGGATTCCTACCTCCGCTTCATCGAATGTCAGAAGTAAGTCTGACGTTCCAGAAAGGATGCCTCTTGATCCATCAATTAGATAGTCACGAGCTGGTACTGAATAAGGATCTGCTTGCAGCATCTGGGCTGCCCGAACAAGTTTGGTGCAGGCGTTCTCCACTCTGTGGGAAGTCATCAGACAAAACTTGCTGGTTAGTTTCTGTCTGTATGACAACAGACCTGAGAAAGTGCTGGATTTGTTTTTAACTTTACTACTTAAAGCACTGCAAGCAAACTGATGATTCTACACCTTTATACTTTAAAAAGCAAGAGTATTTATTGTATTTATTTTAACAAGAAAGTAACCAGCAACTGTACAGCACAGTTTTTCAGAAGTCATGCAATCTTCCCATGTAGGGAATGCCTGAAGTACCCCATGTACAGCAGTCAGTGCAGTGTCGTTAAGGAGAGGTCCCAACACGGCACAACACCTTTCATTCTTAATGACAAGGGCAGGGGACAAAACAATTATTCTTGTAGGACTTCACAATCAAAGTAATTGCTAACCTTTATCAGCCTTGTATTTGCATTGTCATTCAAGAAGCAATTGCTATTAATAAATATTAAATGATAGCTACACATTAAGACAAAAGAACATAGCATTAAGAAAACCAAGACACTGTGCTCTGCTTGTTGAAGCTCTAAGTCCAGCTCTTCAGAGTCTGTTAACGCTCACGACAGAACTAGCATTTTAAGTAGCTTTATTTATCTATATATAGCTAAATAAAGATTTAGCAATAAGGTATGAATTTCAAATGCAACTTGCAATTCCACACTTAAAAACAGAAAGGAGGTTTTGCAAGATATTACAGTATGTAATTACAGTAGCACAGAAGGTACTACAATAAGCAAATGAGCTCTGAAATTAGGTTACATCAACCCATTTAACTGAACTGGAACACTGAAAAGCTTTCGGTTTTGTTCTCTTGTTGTAATTAGTCCATGACAACTTAGAGAAATGCAAAATTCAGACTTCACTTCCATGTTAGCTATGCTTATTCACGACTGTAGTTATTGACTACGCTGACTGTGACTTTCCTCCATTCTCTCCTGGTTTTTTGACAGAAATGTAAGTGTAGTCTAATATATAGGCTCTATGCATGTGAGTGCCAGGTGCTCATTCAAGTTACACAAGGTTCCAACAAACATTAAACCCTTTTATTACAGCAATACCATCTCTTACGTAACTTTTTCATGCTTGTCATATAGCCCATTTTCTACTGACCACTTGGACACACTCGTTTATCATACTTTCAGTTAAGTACTATTGGAAAGTTACAGTTATCCCATTTTCTCCCCTACATTCCTTGTTAACCCAAATGGCAGGACTTAATGGTAACATCTAAATTTAACTACACTAGAAATAAGACACTCATTACAGGAAAACTTACTTTTTTCAGAAAGTAAAGTTTTCAGCTAATGGCTCCCTAGAGTAGATCAAATTGGGCCAGCTGACCTTACCATAACCTGCTCTTTAGTGAGACATCTGCTCAGCCCATCAGATGGTGGTAACTCATAACTGAGTAAGAAAAAACAGGAGGACTTCAAGGCAGAAAGTGGGAATGGTCTGCTCATTACTATGCAATGTACTTAGCTGCATTATCAAAGTCAACTGACTTCACGAAATTAGATTTCCGCGCTTGCTTCTCAAATTTATTCTTTTCAACTCTGCCATGAAAGGGATTAAACAAATCACCTATTCAGCCAGCTCAGAGCTATCGGCTCGGAAATACTTAATTTCCTATAGTTCAATTTCATGGTCATCTGTTTAATACTAATGATGATCTCAAGGCTGGCTTTTTCATTTGTAAAGAAAGGAATTAACGTGAATGTATTACCCCAGAAGTCACCACAATTAACAAAAATAAAGTTTCTAAAGATTCAAAGTTTTCTTTTACAGTTTTTAGAGTTGAACCTCCAAAAGGTAAACTTGCATTTTACTTGTACAATGTCTATTTTGTATAAACTTCCCAATGCATTTGAAAGACCTCAGGAGTGCATACTATGTACGAAAAAAGCAGAGTGGTGGTTAAAAACCAGACACCCCTCCATCCCCTGCAAAGCATACATGCTAGGAAACAAAAGATTACAGGGTGGGGGAAAAAGTAATTCAATTACTTTACTTAAAAAAAAAAAAAAGACTAAAAATATTCACTGCAATGAACCGTTTGTTCTATCACAAGAATCAAATACATTCAAAAGTTTTTAATAGAAGTGCATTGCTATGGTGAATTTTCTAATCCCTGTATTATATCGCAACCTAAAAAAAAAACCAGCTTTATAAAAAAAAAGTATATTTATTTTTGAGGCATGATTACAATAAAGCTATGTTAACAGCAGCAAATTCTTTGTGGAGAAGACACAGGTCATGATATTTCCAACCATACTACTTTTGGTAGTCAATCAGCTTCATTCCTGTAAGTGTCATCTTTATGAAATATGAGGAAAAAAAATTTAGCTTATGCTGAACTACCATGTTAGTTTTTAGGTTTTAGCATTGACCTCTGCTCTTCCTAGAGATGCCTACCCAAAAATTCCAGGCAATGCCGTTGATGCTTGAATAATGCTCATTTCAATTTCTAATCACTTAAGCTGTAGTGAGTTTACTCACTACAGCTTAGATTACTTGCAGTTCTAGAAATAGAAATTAAAAAGCAAATATTTTACATTAACATTAATTTGTTAATACAGTAACCAGCAATGCAGCTTCAGCTTGGCTACCAAAATAATGTTAATATAGAATAGTATTACTGCTTGATTTGTTAAATGAGTTCACGTGTGCAAGTTAAACGTAGACAAATTTTTATTCTCAGTGTAAACAAATCAGGCGTTACCCTATTCTTTGCCTAGAGATTACAGCTTTTTTCTTCTTTACAAGAGAAGTATAACAAGTAATATGAACTCATTGCAAAACACCTGATGTAAATTATATGCATTACTCATACTCCCTGGTGATTAAGACAATTAAAATAAAGAACACAGCATTTTTTAACTCTAGGTCAATAGTTCCAATGTGGTTTATGTCAGTAGCAAGCAAAGAGATGCACGATAGCTTCTCAGCAGCCAAATTATTTTGCTGCACAATCACACTCCTACTGAAAATCTTTACAGATTACCATCATATATATTCATTATGAACCCTCAATGCCAGTCTCAGGCAAGACAAAACCCAAGTCTTTGAAAAGAATAAACAGAACTTCTCCCTCATCCTCCAAAAGTGATTCCCTCAAGACTGGTTGTCCTTTTGAACGGAGAAAATATGGACAGGGAGTGCGGTGCTATCGCATGCGCGCTGCTCCGGGACCCCATCATCCATGTGCCAGAACAATTTCTGCTGGAGCATTCCCTTAAAGAGGAATGCCAGTCGCTGAACTAACACTTTAGAAACAAAACCCCCTCCTCTCAGGAAAGAAAAAAAGCAGAAAAAAACAACAAATCTCATCTGTTTCACTTCCTGCATCCAAATCCTGCCCTTTAATGCAGGAACAGGTAAGACTCCCTTGGCAGCTCACCTGTGACTGTCACTTGTCCCTACAACACAGATATCAGTGACAATACACTCTATTGTGTTAACAAGGAACTGTTAACATGTACTAGTGCATTTTGATATAAACTCCAGATTAACCAAAAAAACCAACAAATGCAATAGATTATCATTCATAAAGGCCATTGAACACTCCTAACTCATGTTACTGCATCTAGGTTGGTAAGTACTGTGTGAAGTAGGTTTCATTACTGTGACAGACAGCTTTGTTTCCCGTTTTTCATTGTATCACAATTCAAGCAGTCATGAATTGCTGCAGAAGAAGTTCTTGCAGCCAGCATTCAGCAGTGCTTGTATCACGTTTCTACAGTAATTTAACTATTTCAATCTCCACAATCTGCTAAGTGTTGATTAAAGACTGGTTGCAGTATAGCAATTATGAAAATCTCTTTTCCTTAATCCCTTACTTGTCTAGGTGAACAAGAAGCTGGAAATTAACTAAAAACTCTACATATCCTAGAAAATTAGTACAATCAAAATTACATGTTTTTATACAACTCATCAAGAAGTAAGAAAAAAGTTTTGGTCTCATTTCAATACATAAACACTCCCCTCAAAAAAAAAAAATCAAACCCCTCTACACCTAAACAAGATCACACACCAGGAACAAAACATGATAAATACTGTAGTGGATTGTATCAAGGGCCCATTTAGCTCAGTATCCTGTCTCCAAAAGTAGCTGCAAGTAGATGCCTAAGGAAGGTTAAGAACAGGATAAGCATTTATCATACTTCCTCTGGGCGCTCTCCCATCCTCCAACTATTTTCAGTTCTTGAGATTTCCTGCAGTTTGTCTATTTGATAACCCACAATGGATTCCTCTAAGTGCTTATCCATTAACCTGCAAACCTATACAAAGAATTTTAACAGTACATAACTTGCTGTACAAAGAAGCTCTCACTATTGTTGGTTTATAAACTACTAGCTTAAAGCAATGCCCCCATCAAGTTCTTGTACAGGAAAAGAAGTGCAAGTTTCCATCTTCTCTATGTAACTTATACTTCCTTAGACCTTTGCCAGGGCCCCAATCCCCTCTGTCACCTTTCCCAGGCTAAAGAGTTCCAGCCTACTTGGCTTTGCCTTATACAGAAGCAATTCCATACCTTTGATTGTTCTCAAATTCCTTCTATGAGCTTTTTATAGTTCTTCTACAGCCTTTCTAAAATTTAGCGACCACAAGTGCATGCAGTATTCAAGGTGTGGGAGAAAAATATACAGTGGCATTTTGGTCTCTCATCCTTTGCTGGTAAACCTAACATTTGGTTTACTTTTTGACCACTACTGAGCATATAATGGATGCTCTCACCAATGCATCGCAGCTCCAAGACCTTGCTCACTATTGGTAATAGTCAGTTCAGTCTCAATCATCCTACCTGAAGCTAGACCTGCTGCTCTCCTATGTGTGCATCTTTTCAGATCTTTCAAAATAATTTCATCCACACTTGATATCAAGCCACTCAGTTTAATAAGGTCCTGCTGTAATTTCTCGAAGTCATCCATTAATCTCACTACCATGCATAAGACTTTGGGTCATCAGCAAGTACTTTCGACTCACAGCTCATCCTGGTTTCCAGGGCATTTGTGAACATGGTGAAAAGCACAATCCCAGCAGAGATCTCTAGAGTCCTACTGATTACCTCCCACCATTGTCAGGGTTAACCATGTAATTTTTCCTTTCACTTTCAATTTTCTCTTTTCCATACAAGAACTTTTCTTATTACCCTGTGGCTACTTCTTTTTCTTAAAAGCCTTCAGACTTTGCCAAAAAGTTTAGAAATCAGTGTATACTGTATCACCTGGATTACCCTTATCCCTGTTTGTGATATTTCTAAGAACACCAACAGATTTATAAGGCAAAATTTCCCTCCACAGAAACACTGTCAGTTCACCCAAAGCAAATCATATGTATTTGAGATCTGTTAATTCCCTTCTCTAGTACAGGATTTCTAGTCATTTGCTCCAAAGGTATGTCAGACCTATTATAGACCTGCTGTTCCCCAGATTCCCCTAGAAAGTTTCTCAGGCAGTAGCATCACCTTGATTGACATACCGGGTGGTCTCAAGTGAGAGACTGTACTTCACTAATAATTCAGGTATTTCATTCTTGAGCTTTTACGCTAATACCACCCGGTCCTAGGCATTTTTTTGTCATTCATTTTGTCAACTTACAATGCAACAAACTAAATCCTTTTTCACTGCCTAACAGAAATTTTCTTTTTAGACATCATCTCTGTTCTCCATTTTAGTATTTTCTTAGTTGCCTCAATGCTTTCTTTTTTTGACTATCTGCCTGGTTTGTGTTTGGGAATACAGTAAAATATTCAGTCATTCTGTACACATCGGACAACACTAATAGAGCAGTCACTACATTCAGTAGGTTGTAGGACAAAGTCACTTCAGTGAAAGTTTGTCAGTTCGCAGTAAGAAGCTTGGCAATTCCACAACAAGAAGAGGGGCACGATTTTTAAGACTTGAGGCAGCAGAAGGAGAAAGTCAGTTGTCCTTGATGCTGAGCCACAGAATTAAGAGTGGCAGTCACTGCTCTTCAAATGTCTTCGATTTCCAGGCAGTTATATCATGCATCAGCTGCCTATACTGACAAATTCACAGTTTTCCACCAACCACATTAATAGAAAAGATTGAGACCATGTTATCTCTGACACTGCTACGCAAAACTACAACAGCACATAGGTAAATACCATTGTTACTCTGAATTTTTTTTTTTTTTAAAGGAAGAAATACCCTGGATATGTACCACCCATATACATAGAATGTAACAGGAAAAGTCACTGTTGGCAGAAAGGTCGTTCCTGACAAAGGTCAGCCCCAAAGAGCTACTCAAACATAGGAGTATTTTCTAACCTGTACAGCAGAAATGAGTAACAATGATCTATCATTGGAACAGGTTTCCTGTACCTACAGTAGAAGATTTACAATAAAATGAGTTTACTTGATAAATGCTGGTGGCATATCCCTTTTCAAGATCTGGTCTTCTGTTGTCTGCACAGTCTCTTTTCCAACCTGCAGGAGAAAGAAGTCATACTTAAGATTCAGAATTTCACTGTAAAGCCTAGATGAAAACAAATAGCAAAAGAGCAACAAAAAAATTGATTTGTACTAATGATAATTCCTGTCACTAGGTCTGCTGTTGCTGTATCTATTTTTGAGACCACCATATACTGTGGTTAGTCTAATGCTTTAGAAATCATATGTTGTTTCCGGCCAACATCTCTACTACATTAACTCTTCCCACTCTCCACAGAAACAATACTATCTGTTTGCTACACTTAGTTGTAAAAACTTAATCACTGTGAACTCTGTAGTTCAGAGTTCCTTCCCTCCTAATCCCCAGAAGTCGGAAATCAAGTTAAAAGTTAAAAAAAGTTACCCCCATTTTGCTATTCAACCTAGTCTATTAGAAAAATGTAGTTAATTACTGAGAATACACCCCACACCCACATTCACAGCATCCTTTAGGCAAAAATAATTATGCAGAAGCTAATAAAGAACGAGATAGAGGAAGATCTGGAGTTTTCAATACACTAGCTCTTGTGTTATACAATAGAAGTCTTTATAATTGGTAGCTGGCTCTCTGGACTGTGAGATCACCGACTTGACAAAATATTTCCAGCTCCTTTGTTCACTGTATTTTCCAGCTGAATAAGCTATTCAGAAAGGCATCACAAAGCAGAAGGTCTTTAACCCAGACACTAGTTTGTGTTAAGAGCTGCCAGGCCTGCTCAAGCTAGACAAGATAGCCCTGAAAATCTCTGATCAGCTGGTGTTCAAAGATTTGCTGGTTTTTGACAGAAATTGTAGTGTGCAAGTATGCACAGCACTTGCCAATTCTAATGCTGTACAGCCTTCCAGAAGCACCATTTCCTTGCAAATTTACGCCGCTTGCCAAAAACTGTGTCTCCCTAGCCTGGTCCTTTTCAGAGGGGCTTTACAGGCGTATGTTGGCCCTGGTATTTTATTTGGTTCAAACACAGGGTCAGCCTAGTCTACTTTTTTTTTTTTTTTTTTAATTTATTAGTACTACACTCACAAGTAGTCATATAGATATTTAAGCGATGAAGGGAAGAGCAGAGAGGAGGTTAAAGGTCTTCAATTTTATTATAGGTTTCAGTCTCTTATGGCCATTGTAGGCTCACTAACAGCCATGCTCCCTCCTAGTGCACAGCGCTGCAGTGTTTCTTTGACTCATGGTAATGCCTCAGGAGCACAATTATAAACATATCTCATGCCCCATTTCTCGGGACAGGGTTACATGACCCACCGGAGAGTATGCCTGCTTTGTTCCAATTATCTCCATTGCACTCATGAAACATTTTTTTTTATATTTCTCACATGTTTGTATGCACACATGCATGATAAAGATAACACAGAAAAGGGGTAATTTGCATAAACTTTGGATTACACATCATTCAGACAGAAGGCTGTCACCAGGTGAAAAGGAAGAATACTACTTTATTTCCAGAGAACCACTGGGAGGAAATCCCATTGCCTTGAAGATTTATTTCTCTTGCAGCTGTACGAATCCACATATAGTTCAGTTTATTAAAAAATATTTCCGAGAATATACAATTTTTACAGAATGCGTGAAAAATAAAGCTTACAACGCGGGGGGGCAGCTTCAATTTGAAGGTCTTTCTAACAATCATTATTGCTATTTTATATTGAACAGTCAGCCAGGAGCAACCAAGAAACAATTTCTGCTCAGCACTATACAGCACACAGACAGGACACAAGATTTCAGGCAGTTCCCATGAGGCTTCAATTAAAAAGGTCCCCTACCTTTCTAGAAGAAAGGACTTTTTACCATATTTTAAGCACCAATACAGCACATACTCACTGAATCTGTTTAAACATAAAACCTTGTGGCTCAAAGGAAAGCATTTAGTATTTACATAGCTATTAATTAACCTTTCCAGAAGTGGCTCTTTGCATTTGTAGCCAAGGTATAGAGATGGAATGTAAAGAACAAGTGTACTCCGTATACCATTTAACAGGCAAAGTCTCAAAATGTGAAGCCACATTCATGACTGAAAACACAACCCCAAAAGAGTTTTGTGGGTTTTCTTTTTTAGCTTTGTGGTTAGGGGGATTTTTTGTTTTGTTTCTTACTTTGTTTTAGTAAGATCCAGTTTCTTCAGACTGAATTTTACATGGGTTAAGCAATTTTCAGACATACTGCAGTGTAACACAAGGTAGAGATTTACTCAACTCTACCTTCTCCATATATTCCAATACCAAGGGAATGAAGATTTTTTTTTTCCCCCTTAAGATGTAATATCTACACATTCCCTATTTCAGACAGAAGGCTTGTCGAGCTTCATGCTAATACAGAACAATTATCTGGGAAACCTGTATTTTATTTCTATCCAACAGCATACATGTGGAAAAAACAGGATTCCTACTTGGGTTTCAGATATTCTTACCTCCTAAGATAATTTTTCCCCTAACTAACTGGGAAGCAACAGTCTCCATGAAATAGAAGCTTCTGCTTTTAAGTAATACTGGTGGCCATTACTCATCGTTCCAAAGAAACTGCACGGGTTAACACAGTAAAGGGACCCTAACTTCTTGAACAGTATACTTGCCCAGAGCAACACAGAGGAAGGGAAGCTCTCAAGCAAAACTTACCAAGGCAGTTTCGTAGTTACAACTTCTACCCATCCATATTCATTTCCATACTCTTTGGGAGATTAGAAGCAAATCAGTTGAATCAAGATAAAGAATGAGCTACTTCCCTGCTTGCTCCCTGCTCCTTAACAACAGTGAACAAGAGGCTGACAAGTCTAGCAATTTAAAGGAAATGGGACACGCACAAGTCAGAGGGCATATATACGGCCACTGAAAAGCCTTCTAGGAATGCAGCTAGAAGAACCAGGAAGAGATTGAGATTTCCTGCTGCTTTTGGCTTTTAACCTTGCTTGTAGGTCTCCTGCGCTCTTATCTGCCACTGATTAGTAGAAGACCAGTATGTTTTAAGCTTCCTGCTGGGAGTATTTTCTCCATGGAGAAGCAGGAGGAAAACCTTCCGATCAGGCTGAGGTTTTCCCTCATAACCAGTTTTGCAGCTTTTTGTCATGTCTGCTTCTACTGCAGGAAAGACGAGACATGAGCACCCCACAAGGTCCCTTTCCCATCTTCTCAGCCTGCTGTGCTGGATATAGCAAAGAACAGCTGTTCAGTGAGAAGGGGAAATAGTTGCAGCTTCTGTAATTCTCTAAAAGTTCATTTAAACAAGGACACCACAAACACCCAGTAATATCTAGTTCTCTTAAATTCTAGAAGTTTGAAAGTACAAACTGCATGTATCATATAGAATAAAACACACAAATATTTAAGATGAGAGTCCAAAGTTTATTGTTTGGGGGTTTTGTTTTGTTGGGTTTTTCTTTTTAAACAAAGATTCTTCTGAATGCCTATATTGACAATACCAATTTGTCAATTTGCCAAATGCTGGAAACGAAGATTTTCCTTGCAGTTTATATGATTTCCCCAGTTAAAAAGGAAGACCTTAGAAGAATTAGTTCTTGCAATGTTCCAGAAGCTGATTTAAAACATCTGTCATTTTAGCAAGGAGCCTAAGAGTATTCCTGCATCATCATTCAGCGAACACATACAGCCCTGGCTGTAACACTAGCAGAGCCCCAGGTCTCTCCCAAGGAATAAGCTATGGGATGAGTTTTGCTTGACAAATCAAAGTACCACTCAAAGTGATCTAAGTCTGTATGCTGCAAAAGCAACTTTACTATAAGCCATCTCACATTGAAATCCAGTTGCTGGTTTACGCATTCTTCCCTGTTTTCAAGCTTCCAGGAGGAACAGTGACACGACAATGGGAGTGTTAAATCTCACATCAGAAATTTGTTGTACGTCAGTGCAGTTCCATGAAGTTCTCTGCAACCTCTTTCTCAATTTCTTTAGATGTCTGTCCTGAAAAAATAAACTTAAGTATTTGCTATAACTCTACAATGACAGCACTTTCTACATTGCATATCCATGTCTAGAATCCATCTCAAAACAGAGTTGCCAGTCCTTTCCCCCCACCCCACATTTTAAGAAAGTAAAACTGGCCTAGATTTCAAGACTATGAACAATCCATCAAACAGAGCTAGAAGCAAGCCAAAGTTACACCAAAATTATGCCTACTCCTTACGGCATAGATGATGTACATTTCAGTCCAGACTGAAAAATACAACATAGGCAGAGAGAATTAAACCTTTGTGAAAGCATTTTGAATTCAGGTGACAGACTGAGGGGGTCTTACTCACACATAGCAGCATAAAGAAAATAATGACTGAAGTTAATGGTATCCAGTCTTGTATCCTATACCTTTCATGGAGTTCATCCCTCCCCACAAGGCTTGTCCATTGCAGGCCTAGAAAGCAGGTCCTTTATCTCAAGACTAAGTTCGGAGACAGTTTGTCTCAGTGGGTTCAAAAGTGGCAAGGGCTCAATAACTACTTCACAATTGTGCAGTTTTCCCTTTGTGAAACCAGTCATTGGAGCCAAATTACACAGAAAGCTTTTTGGAAGGAGCTCTAGCAGCAAAGGAGAAGCAAACAGGACTTTGCTGTTTACCTTCATTGTTGTCAGTCACAGTATTTTGATTGCAACCCATGTTCTGTTTTTATTTACAGTATCAAGCAGATCCAGTTGTTAGTATTTCAAGCTATTTCACTCAGCTCTTTCTTCGAAATACAGCTGTTGGAGTGTATGTTGTTTTATTATGCCCTGACTCTTAGCTACTTTAACCCATGTGGTAAATGTTAGCAAAAGAGAATTGCATACATCCTGGCATAGTAGCAAAGCATAAAATTTTGCCAGATGCAAGTCAAACACCTTTGGGGTACATCATGAAATTTCTTGGTCACACCTAGATTTCACAAGTCACTCAAAAATTGCCATCAGATAACATAAACAGCTTCCAGTAAAGACAGAACTTTCTGCAAACTGAACAGAAGAGACAAGCAATGTTGAAGTGCTTTTACAGAAATCTAAGGTTTACAGGTTACTCCTCACATCTAACCCTTCTCATCCAATAAGACTGAAAAGTGTCAATTATAACAAGGTACAATAATACAACTTTTTTTTTTTAAACGCAAAACTTCCTTTTTCCTTTGAAGGCTCTCTTGGAAGCATTTTAAAAAGCAGATTTCCAATTTCTTCATCATTCCACTCTTACGTTGCTTTGAATTATAATTGGGATTGATATGTCACTTGCAATTAGTGAGTTTAACACTGCTTTAGCAAACTTTAAGTTTTTCTACTTATCTGTAGAGGAATAGGCCAATGCAATTAGAGACTGAAAAAATAAGTCCAAAGAAATATGCAGCTGAATTCTCTTCCTGCTTCTAGTTTATGCCAAACAAACAATGCACATATACTACCAGTGACATCAGTCAGCAGGACCACTTTTCCTTCAAGCCGGGCAAGAACTTAAAGACTGCTAAACCAGAGCCTATCTACTTTGCCTTTCGGTGAATATGGAAGCTGTATACTGGCTCCTGGTTTTCTCATGATTACCCTGGAGGCTGCATTCCAGGCATAGCAAAGTACAATTTCAAAGTCATCTGGCAATAAGTCAAGTCAATTAGAACACTCCAGCCATCTGGTCCCTAATAGCAACAAACTGACCTACCTGTCTACACTCGCGATTAAGATAAATTCAATTGGCTTGAGGCTAAGGAAATCCTGCTGTCCAAGTAAAATACATAACTATGCAATGAGAACCATATGGAAGCCAGAAAGTGACATCACTGGGTACCAAAAGACTTTTATTCATGCTGCTATTGTCTACTAACTCTGTTACCGGTACAGAGCTGAGGCTTGGATGGTTTAGCTAATTACAGGATGCACAACATAAAGGAAACAAAAAGCACATCCTGATTATGTGAGACTTTTCACAGAACTATTAAAATTTGGAAATTAGTTCTTTTATCAAGAGGAGAGTTTCTTCTTCTAAATCAGTACTTCCGAGTTAAAACTACTTTAAGACATTATAACTCCACTTCAGTCAAATAACATAAGTCAGCTCTGACCTTTGAGCATATACAAAACTCACCCGGAAAAATAAGATACAGCAATTGTCCTCCACAAATGAGATTCACAGCTGTAACTAGCTACTTTTACCTTACAAGGAAGTCTAAGGGAAGTGCCTCATACCAAACAGCATGCAGACTCCAAAAGCTCTTCCAGTTCATTTTCTTGTACCCAGACCTGTGAATGACCACTAAGTTTCAGAGCACCTCTTAACATAAATCCTGCTGCAGATGTATACACAGATTAGTACCGTACTAAAAGATAACACATGTGATATCACAGAGCTAAGTTCTCTCCTTATTCGAGTCCTTGTCTTTAAAGCAAGCAACCACCAAACACCATGATGATGCTGGTAGGTTTCCATCATCTTTGACAATCTGCTAATATCTGCATGTTGGGGAGAATTTTGGTTGAGAAGGATCCTGCCCCCCCATCCCGTAATTGAGATGCATCCTGTCCTCCCCAGCCTTCCAAGTGTTAAGTCAAGTAGAAGTATCTAGAAGGTTTACTTAAGATTAAGGCTTTTTGGCTCTGTTAGTAACAGAGTAATAAAAAGCCTCACCATAGGAAGTTCATAGATCATATCAAGTGGAAGAAAGATTTCTTCCCAGATACAGCAGAGTGGCCTGTGAGAATTTATGTTTCTAATATAGATAAATATTGTACTGCACAGAGTCTCTAAACCAACCCAAGCTATAGCTTCAGATAGGTAGTAACACACTTTCTCCCCAGGCTGGTTTCTTCCTTCTTCAGAACTACTAAGTTGGAGGTGGTCTCTGTGACAACATTATTAAATTGGTATTTCACTTATCCATGTGTTGGCACAGAAAATATTCAAGGAGCTGAAAAAAGAAGAGACAAGTCAATATGTATTCTTTGTTACTTGTTGAGAAAGTTTCAGATGCAGAATAGTAGAGAAGTTTTTAAGATGTCTGACTAAATCAGGTGCAAAGCAGATGTCCACTATAAATGCCTTAATTTCACTTTGATATTTAGTTAACTACAAAATCTGTTGTTACTTTTAATAACCCATTTTACTTTTTTAAAACACTGCTAATTTGACAGGTATTGTTAACTACATGAGGCATTTTAATATACTACAAATGAAAATGTAGGTTGGCTACCAGACACCTGAATTTTAGGCTCTTCTATTTGTAATATGCAAACTTGTACTGACTTCTGAGTACCAGATTGTTCAACACTCATTTTTTTCCTCTTCCACAGAAAGAAAGGTCAGCACTGCTTCCCTTCTGAGCTCCCTCCTAGAGCATCAGTGGTTCCAGAGTAATTTTTTTTTTTTTTTTTTTTAACATTCAAGACAGTAACAGTTCCCTGCAGGAAGACAAAATTAGTAAGCATGAGAAAGAAAAAGCAGTTTCGAACACCTCTGATAGCAGAGGAGGAGGAATACCAATCATCATTGATTTTAAGACAACAAATCAGAATAAAGACTTGCTTTTAGCACCTGATGGGGGCAATACATTTATCAGTAGATAAACAAAAGAATACTCACCACCCCACCATTTACATGACACTGCTTTTTAACATGTTTTAAGTGCAACTGTTTTGCCAAAGCCACTGTCATGACACCACCCTTCATTCTACACAATTCTGAAATTCTTACGACAATTCCCCCCACCTCTTCCCATGATGCTGTTCTGAGTTACTGAACTTGTTCTCATCTGCCTGTCATAAGTGCTGGCTTATTTATCTGCAGCCCCATCAGGCAAGTATCTGTTTCCACTACCTTGATGGATTACAAAAACTAAATGGGTTTAGGGCTAAACAATGTACTGAGGCAGAGAAGGAATATACAAGAGATTCTACCTTAATCTATTTACTTAAGTCAACCTGCAATTGCTGGAACTAAACAGTTCTATCCCTCATTGACTTTGTTTAATCCTAGCGTTTCCCCTTGAGGGAAACATACTCATCTAAAATTAGCTTTATTGCTAACATTTTTCACTGATTTTTTAATATTATATTAAAAATATTTTCAGGTGTTCACTAATACGTGGTTGAAGCAACAGAAACTTGCAG